GGGGCCGGGCCCAGGCGCGGCCCGCCCAGGGCGGGCACACACACCCCCGGGCGGCCGGGGAGAGCGGCCCTGCCTTCTCCTCAGCAACGCTTTGAAAAACCCAGGCGGTGCGTCGGCAAAGTCAACTCCAGGCGCCTCAAAACCTCTTTGCCGCCAAAAAGCGCCGCCATTCCGCCCGCAGGTGAAGGGGACGCGGGGCTGGGGGGCGGTCGTGGGAATGCTCTATTACACAGAAACTGCCAGGCAAAAACCTCAGAAACACCGTGCTGAGGGCGGTGTGATGGTCCCACAGTTGTGCGCAAGGTCAGCCTAAGCTTGCTGAAATAGAAAACCGTGAAGTCCTGGGGTTGGACCTTACCCTCGGGCAAAGAGGGCGGCACGGCGCTTCCCAAGGGAGTAAAACCTGAAAAAAGCCATTGTTTAAGCGTCTCGATAAGTGAAAAAAAAAAATAAAATAAAAAAATCAAACCCAGCCTGAGAGAAAGTGCTACATAAAATTTAAGCTCTCACTTTGAAACTAAGTCCCTCAAAAAGGGAACTGTGGCACCACCTTCTGCAGAATTAAATCGCACAAAGCTGCTCACGATCAAAGGCTGGTGTTTTCTCTCCTGCGACCATTACCAGAATAAACACCTCTACTCTACACCTCAGCAGTGCCTTTAAAGGCGAGTATCAGTAATTTCTACTTTAATTATTAAACATATTCCACACTGTACTGATCATCAGTATCTTGAAGCAGGCAACTTGGCATTTATCTGAATATGCAACTCCATTTTTACTAAAATATACAGGAAAATTCGGTCATAGATGTCAAAATTAAAACATTATTTCCTCTACAACCCAAATATAAGATGCAATCCTGCAACCGAAGCAAAACCACCTCTAACTCAGGAATAAGCAGAACAGGATGCAGAATCTTGACCAGTTTCTCACAAAACGTCACAGTTGTCAGGCGGGCAGAGCTATTAACAGTGCTCTGCTGTAAATGAGTTACACAGACCGAGCATCCGCTTCCAAGCTGGATTCAATATGACAAAGGAAGAAGACAATCCTGTACAGAAGGATTATAGTTGCAAAGCAGCAGCTGTTCCTGCGCTACCAGAATTCTGACACAACAGCAGACTGAGAAGATGAGGAGGTGGAAAGAGTCCGGGCTTTTTGTGGAACAGGCTAAGGAATAATGCCTGCAGATTTGTTCCGTCGGGGCTGCAGAGACAGGCAGGTTTCACTACTAGAATCATTTATGACCTTGTTTATTCAGCTTTGAGGCTTAAATACGAAACAGTACAAAATTACTAGAGTTTAGGTATGTAGACATAATAGTTATTTCAAAATTATTAATAGAAGAAAAAAAGGAGAAGCAAGGCTTTACTTTCACGTATAATACAAGTGGATGTGGTTTGGTTTTGGTCTTTAAAGTGGCCAGGGAAGTCTGACGGCTCCATTTATCAAGCCTAACAGTAAGCTTTGTGTGTTTTCTGCCACTGAATCTTCTGGAAGTCTGGCAGATTTATTAGGGGTGAACTGAACACAGAACTGACACTATTTCCACAGAGAAATATAAAACTGTGTGACAGTAACACAAATAGATGCTATTTTTGAACTATTGTTCAGAAACACGAGGCATTTACTGCAAGAGCACATGCTTCAGCTTCTATGAGAAGCACCCAGGAATCCACTATTGGTATTTCAGTAGAGACTTTCTTGTGTGTAAACATCCATCCTCACCCAGAAGAAAACATAAGAAATATTTTTCTCCCTTCCCCTTTGCTGCTGTTTTCATTCTTCTGTTCTTCAGTACGGACACAGGCATCAGCCCAAGCTCAGCAGTCTGTTGCCATTCAGCTTTTTGAAGCAGTCTGTAATTCACCACCACTTTTATCTTCTTTAACCTTTTTCCCCTTAATATTTTCCTTCGTAGTTTTCCTACAAGAAACACATTGGAGACCAAAGACACCTGAACATAACAGATGAAATACACAGCAGTGACACAGACAGGAGTTATTTTATATTATATTAATGCTGCTGAATATACATCCTTTACTAGCACCACTCCAAAGTGTGGGTAAGTGTTCTTCATGACTTCTGCTATAACAAACTGCTACAAACTGGTCTCCTGTGAACTTCAGCCACTACAACTTAAGATCTGCTTCTTGTGTTAATACTCCATGCATTAAAGTAGAAGCCAGCCCTTTGCCAGAAGAGGAGCCACTAGGTTCTGTCAAATGATAGCTAGTCTGAAGGCTGGCTTTAAGGCCAGTGGTTTAAACTCAGCTTTGTATCACCTGATACATGGCACCACGTGAGGCAAACTGATGGCATTAATCCAATTTCCAGCAGACAGATAACTGACACTGAAACTTCACCATTACTAACACCACCGTGACTGGGTGGTCCACCCAAACAGGTTATTGGTTACTTTGGAGGAAGCTTGCTGGGCCTTTTCTGGATAAACAGCATCTCTTACCTCCTCTTGAGAAAAACCTACTTACATTTTTCTTCTGGCATTTTTTAAGAAGCACTGAGGGGTGGTGCAAATGGATTCTCTTGTCAATGGTTTCTTAATTAATTTCTTCTTTTGTTTGCTGAGAACGATATTTAGGGAAGAAGAATTAAATTACTTTAAAGGGTAAAGATTAATATCCAAAGTAAATAAAATAGATAATTAAAAACTTTACAGCTCACTAGGGATTTATGGGTCTGAATCTATTTTCCGTGTTTACTCCAAGATTAGTTCAGCTGTGTTATCTCCAAGACATTCAAACAAACTTTAACATAGAAGTCTAATGTGTGTGTGTATATATATATATATATATACACACACACACACACACACACACACACACACACACACACACATATATAAGGATTTCTAGCTTTAGAAACTATTAGAGGTTATGAAAAACTGTGGGAAGCAGCACTGATTAAAACCCTATTTATCTATATGCATACATCAATTTTTCTAACGGTAACTCAGAGTAAAGGACTTTCTTCCATGTATCAGAAGCCCAATTCATGAGTATGGGCCTAAGAACTCTAAAGCAGATTTCAGGGAACTTATAGAAAAACAGTGATCTCCAGGAAAACCGTAAAGTCAAGAATTCTTTTGGTTTCCATTTTTATCTGGGTAAAAAACTGCCACCCCCACTCTGTCCAACATTCCTTTTGTAGCTCAACTGCAACTGTACTGGAAACAACTATATCTTTTGCAACCCTTATACCGCCAGTACCACTCGTGCAGGCTTTTAGAAAATGGGAAACAAACTGGTAAACTATTCCAGGGAACATACCTTTGGAGTTTGGGAAAGTGTTTTATGTAGTCTGGCACAGGGCAGCCAGCTCGCTGAATAACACTGGCTATACTGGAAAAGAGAGGAGGGAAGAGATTAACTCTGGCAGCCACTGCTTGGAGAAGAGATAAGCATCTTCTGTGGAAAACGATAATCCCTAACCACTGCCTGTTTTGTTATTGGCTTTTTGTTTTGTCGTGGGTTTTTTTTAAAGCAAGAAATAAAGACACAAAAGCCAGTTTCAAGTAAGGTGAGGAAGAAACTAGACATAAAAGGCTTAAATGAAACTAATGACTCTGGATAGTTCAAACAAATTTAAATTTTAGGCGAGTACCATCTTCAAGGAGATGAAGAAAAAGCATTGAGTCAAAACAGAGAATCATACCAAGTAATTTTGGACACAAGGAAGTTAAAGAACTGGATTAGAAAACCTAAAGCCCAGCATGAGGTAGTCAGTCATACTTTCTAAACAACAAATGATTCAGGAAAACCAGAACAAAGGTAGTTGTAAAGATTGTTGAACCTGCCCTTTAGCGAGGTTCAGGTTCACTGAAAAGCACTCCCAAGTAAACCATCACGTTGTCGTTACCAGCAACAGGACTGAAAGCAGTGAAAGTAAGCTCATTTCTCTCTTGCTGCGTTGGTGAAAATGTTAAACCTGAAAATGTTCTCAGGCTTTCCCATACCATGGTACCACCCTGCAGTTCCACAGAACTCAAAACAAGAGTTCTCTCTCTTTTTGTAAGAGCTTTTTACAGCAGCATGGGGTTTCCAGAGCGTGGCCATACCGTGCTTACAAGGTGTGTGGTACCAGGCACAACCACATGGTTCAGCAGTACACTATAAACCCCCCAAAAAACATTTTTGCTGTATCATGTTTCCAATTTACCTCCGTAATAAAGGTTTATCATCTTCTGTAAAAAAAGTGACTGCTTTTCCCGTGTGGCCTGCTCTTCCCGTACGACCTGTCAAACACAAATGTTGCAAAAAGTACAGATTTTACTTTAAATATCTCCCTTTATTGTACTCCTCTTCACAGCCCCAGCCTCCTGGTATATTAGTATACCAAACATACTACCAAGCAGCCAATCCCCAAAGATTGTTCCTATTGAATGAAAGCACTGGTATGTCTGAAGCATCTAAATATTTAAGGTTCATAGAAGACTGACCAAAAAGTAACGCAGTTTTACTGAAAATTGAGCTCAGACAAACTGGCTCAAGTGATCTAGAAGCAACAGAGGAGGCTTGGTTTCAGGATTTTCGCTCATGCACAAGAGCATCTACATTAAAGATCTAGGAAATGAGAAAAAGGACATAATTTGGGAACAATCACTCACCTATCCTGTGGATGTACTCCACTGCACTCGTTGGCAAATCATAATTGATGACCATATTCACTCCTTTGAAGTCAATCCCTCGAGCTAGCAAGGCTGAGCAGATAAGCACCCAGATCTTCCCAGCTCTGAAACTGTGTACCACGTTATCTCGCTAGGAAAAGGAAAGAAAGGTCCTTGGAAACAGCCGAATTAACAATTTGAGAAAGGAGGTGAACTTGTTTCCCAAAAGCTGTCATGACATTAACAAATAAAACTAAACCTCCAAACAAAAGCCTGCAGCAATTTATTGCCAGACTTACCTTAAGTTACATTTCAACACTCTTGATTTCACCTTTCTTTCTAAATTGCTTCTTAGAAAGGAATTATATCCTCCTACCTGTTGCTGAGTTTTGTCTGCATGGATGACATCCACGTTGATGCCTTCGTAAATAAGTTCATGGAAAAGCTCTTTAGCCCTCTCAATAGACTGTACAAAAACAAGGACTGGAGGAGCAAAACCCTGCAAAAGAATAAGCTTGTCTAAGGGTCAAGTCCTTTTCCTACCGTTATTGGTTGCAGACACTGAGCTACTGAAGAGACTTAACCAGCCCCTGTATTTTACATCTCAGGGGACCTTTATTTTTTTTTTTTGACCAGCTCAATCTTTGGGAGTCAGAACTAAGCAAGTTCAGCTCTGCTGCCTTTGACGGAATGGTTCCTAACTTAAGCATCATTTTAATCTACAGAAACAAAGAGATTTTTTTTCCACCCAATGCAAAGAACTCTCCTCACATGGCCAAGTAAAATCAAACAGACTATTAATACAAAGTGTTCTTAAGCAAGACTCAAATATACAACCAAGAATGGGGAACATTCTCAGTTTTTATAGGTAGTGTGCTGATTCTTCCCCTTGTACAGATTTGGACAACACTTTAACATGTGTCAGAGAAGTCTTTGCCTTAGGAAATGCTAAGTCTGACACACGGCTCAGTTCTGTAGTAAGCAGAACATAATCTCTCCAAAATACCTTTTTAACAAGCTCTCTCATTGCCGTTAGCTTGCCTGTCTCAGATCCAACAAACAACAGCTCCTGTTCTACCGTCTCTGCCGCAGAGTTTCTGAAACCAGAAATCCAACAGAAGTGTGATACTGTTAAAGAGTTTATTTATAAACACTAAAACCCATAAAATATTACCTGGTGAACGAGAAATATTGCACAGCAAACTTATTTCCCCCGTACCCGCTTCTAAGATTAATGGCTACTTGATGATAAAGTAATGGGTAAAGGAAAACAACACGTGTCCCAACATGTGAAAAAGATCTATATGCCTACACAATTTTTTTCTGGAGACAAACAACCTGCAGTACCAACAATGGACACATAAAATCAAGCAGCTTGATGACGCAAAGAAAACAAATAATTTGCCCAGAAAAGGAAAGAAACCATAAGAGACGGAGTACAACTGCACACCCACCTTGCTCCAACAGACACCAGAACAACACTGTCAAGGTTGAGTTTACACCACTCCTCTACATCATGCGCAAAGGTTGCGCTGAACAAGGCTCTTCTCACCACGTGGGATGTGCACGCCAGGAAGATGGAGGCCAGCTGGTCTCGGAACCCCGACTTCCCATCTTCAAACAGTTTGTCTGACTCATCCACCACCAGCCACTCCACACTAGGAACAGAGAGACTTTCTTTTCAGTAGGAGTCACTTGAGGAGAAGACAAAAGTTCTAAGAAACCATCACACCATCAGCACGCATCCGCTTTTCAGCGGCAAAACTAGTACCAAAGCCAGATCTGAGAAAGAATCTTGGTACCTGGTCAAGTCTATCGCTGGAGGATCTTGTTTCAGCAAATAGATGAGTCTGTTCGGAGTAGTAACTAGTATATCTGTAGAAAGAACAAACAAACAAAAAGGGCAAAACATTTAAAAAGACACAAAATAAACCAGACTAACAGGGCCCTGAGAAACACAAGTTCCAACCCCAGCTGCTAGAGGCACAATTTAACAGAGTCAGGCTCACTTCCTATTTCTTCCATGCCAGCTACTTTTTTAGTGTTGAGCAATAGATTGCACATCTTGAGTGGTATTAACCAATCACTGTAAAACCACACATGCCAGAAGAGAAAGGTCAGTGACATTTTAAAAATTTTTTAGAAGCACTTTAGTTAGAATAGTTACCAAATTTCTTAGAAGACTTGGGCCCAAACTTCTTTGCAGCTTCAGCTGCCTTGTGAATCATATGTATTCTGAAGCCTGTCCCCTCAGCCAACTTCACCAGCTCCCGATGTGTCTGAAAAGGCAGCAGCAAAGATTAAATTTTCAAACCGAGCCGATTAGCTTTTACCAGAAAAACTACAGTCCTAAAGATCCAGCTTCAAACATTCACCCTGACTTCAGTGTTAAGAGAAGCCGACTAGTTTTCTGAGTATAATAAAACGAAGCTTCCTAACATGTACTATACACCTGGAAGTTCTCACAAGCCTGACTACCATATTTTGGCTCTAACGATGTAGCTCCCATAAGCCCCGTGTCCCATTTGAATAAAATTGGAACTCTGCCCCAAGTTGTAATTTTTATTTCAGCTCACTAACAAAGCTTCAATATAAAGTAATTTGTTGAAATTCTGTGTTTGTCTCAAACAGATAAGTCCCTTGCAGTAATCTCAAATATAAAAGTAGGTATTAAGAGCACCTAAGCATTGGGCAGTTTTAAAATATGATCAAAGAATCCTGAACCTCTAATCTAATCATTTAGATTAGACAGAGATACTGGATATGTAGCTATTTCACAAAAGACAAAGGACTTATCAGAAAAAAAAGCTAGTTTAAACGTCTCTCTTATCTGAGGGTAATAAATGGAAAAAATATTTACTAAGCTGCTATTTTACCAATTCAGAGTGAAAACTTTTAAGTACATCGATATGACAACAATCCCTTCCCCCTCAACACGCACCTGGCTAGCAAGTTCTCGGGTAGGTGATATGATCAGGGCTCTGAATCCTTTGTTCCTCGGTTGTTTAAGATGAGTTAAAAGAGGAATACAAAATGCCAGTGTTTTTCCAGACCCTGTCGGAGCTGAAGCTAGAAGTTCTCGACCCTGTAAGAAAAAACAGGAAGGGTGTTATACTTTACTAGAAGAAAAAAACAACCAGCCACAAAAGTCACCTTCACATAAATATTAATGCTACGAACTAACCCAAAATACATAATAATATTGCAATGGCTAAGATCTGAACTCTGATGAAGTTGATGTATCTCTGAAGCCGTGCAACTAACTGCTGCCACGACCCTAAAGAGAGGCCACCCTCCAAATTCGCCCACGCTCCCTCTAATGAAATGCAGTACCAGGAAACGTACATGAAGCATGACGGGAATCGCCTGCATCTGGATGGGTGTTGGGACCTGGAAACCAGCAGCTTGAATATTCTCCATGATTTTAGGGTGGACTTTGTATTCCTTTTGAAGTTGATCGAACGTGGCAATAGGGTCAGGAAGATCTGTTCCTTGAACATTAATCCTGTGTTGATTTCTGAAGCGATTAATCTAAAAGGCAAGAGACAAACTCTTTCTTTCTTTGACAGCATAAAGCTAAACACGTGTGGCTTCCCCTTCTGGCTATTTTCCCCATATTCAGTCACTTTCCTCCCAAGAGAAGCTACCACAAATAAACCTCAATTTTCAGATGAAGCACCTACAAAAACTAAGTAATCTGTTGCTACATTAGAATTCCACGGTCGTACCTTTTCTCTTCTCAAGCGTTCAAGTTTTTCTGCAGTAGGTTTTTTGTCTTTCGCATCTTCAAATTTTGCTTCCAGAGAAGACATCCACTTTATTCCATTACTTTCTGACAATTCTGGCATCAATGCTGCTTCTGGAAGTTTCAAAAAATTGAAATTTCCATTAGTAAAATCCAGGCAAAGATTAATTAGTTAAAAAAGACACCTCAAAATCTTTTTTCTCTCATTCTCACTAAGGTTAATAAAGACTTCAGAAGGATGGCAACCACATCCCCATACCTTAACACCGAATTATTTTATTATTAAACCCAATTATTTTACCAGCTCTGACACTGGTCAGCCAAAGAACCCAGAAGCCTTTTAATTTTTTTTTTTTCTGGCAAAATGAGCCACAGTACCCACAGATTTAAAGTAAACTGGAACAAGAAGCATGAACCTCATCAGGGAATTCTGCCAAGGAAACACATGCGTGTATATAAATACCTCGTCTCTTTTTCTTTTTTCTTTTCCTTTCACTGCTTTCTGCCGTTCTTTTTCTCTTTCCTGCCATCCCTCCGTCGCTTTTCCCTGCGCCATGCTCCTTCTGCAGCTCTCCACCCTTTACCTCCTCTGCAGCCCCTGCAAGCCCCCAGTCCTGCTCGGCAGACCCCAGGGGCGCTTCCTCCTTGCGCCCGAAGAAGTCAAGGCTCTCCGGCGCGATGCCGCCGCCGCCGCTCCCCTTTATCACCTGGGGGAGCAAGAAGGAAAACGATGCGACGGACCCGGGCAGATGCCAGCGCCTCCCCGGCCGCCACCACAGGGCCGCAGGGACCCGCCGCGCGGACGGAACGGGGCCCGAGGAGGCCTTATCCCGGAGGAGACGGAGCCCAGGCC